CCATATAGGCATTGTAAATATGAATAGTAATCTGCATTATCATGACTTTTAAAGATGTTTCGGTACGTTTACAAACGGCTTATTTAAAAATCCAAGATGGCGGCCTTGTGGTCACGTGACTTAGTTTCCATGGTAACCAAGGCTCTAAGGTTCCTTCTTTTCACAAAAGACATTAACTTGCCAAGTTTGGGGAAGATTCGTAGAAAACTGGCTATGATATAGCTAATCAGTTTTTCATCTGAGAGCCATGCGTTAATGATGCTGAGTGTTACTTGAAACCTGATAAAGTAACTGCATGGAACAAAATTAATTCAGTCCGCGCGGACTTGAAATCCCGTCCAGTCCGATATTGGAGGCTTTGAAATATTACTTCTTCGTTTGCACGTTACGTCATTGCGGCCATGTTGGTACCATTTAACAAAAGATTTCTCATTAGCATCCAATGGCCGCCATGTTTCCCGATATTATATATGTATATATATATATGTCATGCCTTTTAGCGTTATCTATTTTTCATTAGTAAGTGTTTCAAAAAAATATGTAGAGATACTTGTCAAAGACTGGAGTACTTTCAGGCTTAGAATAGATCCGACAACTGCCTACTTATATTTTCGAAATTACTCAAACTTGTCTTCCTCAAATATGCTAATGCAATCATAGTTCCTTAAACTACCAAACATAACAATAAAAAGCACGCAAAGGCATTTGGGATAGTTCTGGATCCTCCTCTGATCTAGACCTCGCTCCCTACCATAACTTTCAGTTGCTCAGTGGTTAGAGCGTCTGGCTAGTAAACAATTAAGAGGGTCTCTAAGGGTTCCAGTTCCAAAAAAAGATTAGCTTGATAAAACATAATTAACCCCTTTAACAATAGAAATTGCATTACAAAGTGTGCACTTACAAAGTGTGCACACTATTCTTGTGAGGAAGAAGCTCTCCAAGATCTCTCATTTGTCGTAAACGACACTTGACAAACAATAAACCGGTGTCCAATGTAGGCATACGTATACAGCTACTGTTCCCATAATAGGAGTTGTTAACGTGATGGTCAGGTGCTGAGCATGTTTCAGACCTTACTTGGATACTAAGTATCACCATTGAAACCAAAAACAGCATTATCTATGAAAAAATATGGTTTTCAGTGCATGGTGATGAAAATAGACTTTCATAACTAGTGATGTAACGATTTTACGTAGAAGTCGTTAAAGAAGTCACTGAGATCAGACAACAATGATAACAAGAAAAGAGAAAATGAGTAAAAAAGAAGAAAGAAATTCATATTTAAAAAGAAGGCAACCGATAAAGAATAGAAAAAATAATTACATAACATAAAGCAGTAATTTGACCAAAGCATACACAGTTATAATTCAATATCGGTATGCGATAAAGATTGTTAAATTTATGGCTTACCTTTTTCTTTTAGTCTTTTTATCTATGTTCGTCAACGACAACACTAGACCCTGCCACAGTTTTTCACCTTTTACATGGACTAGTAATAGCAACAATCAATCAATAATGCTGGAAAAAGTACCTCAAAATTAGCAAATTTACCAGGTTTAGGAGAGATATATGAGAAACAGGCGAAGATATAGCCATGAAAAGTCATTGAATTTTAGAGAAGTTTATATGGTGTGGGGCACACACTTGCTCCCCACCATATATACAAACGTCTGTAAAATTTCCGGAGCTAGATCGTTGCCATTTTCCAACCTACCACCCCCTAACTTGGCAAATTTGCTAAATTTGAAGTGCTCTTCTGTCAAAAGGTGTTCGAATCAATTTTTGCTAATTTGCTAACAACGATTTAATCACAACGATAAAAAAAAAACCCTCAGAACCCATTTCCAAATAATGTTCGTAAAGACGCATTGCACAATCTGTTTTGTCGCTTGCTTATGATAATCTTATATTCTTGAAATCAGTGTATCTTCAATCACAACTGTTAGTACGAATCAAACGGTAAATTCGGTAAAAACGAGAGAGAGAGAGAGAGAGCGAGAGCGAGAAAGAGAAGAAGACGCTCGCACGAACCCGCCCATTAATATTCGACTATGCTTCTAACTATTCTAATCAAATTATATAAATTAAAAAAGAATTCAAACATATTAACGCTAAAAAACTAGTTTAAATACTTACAGTTTGTCAGGATGATATTTCGCTAGCTGCGAGAGTAAATTTAGTTTTGTGTGTGTGTGGTTCAATATATTTGCCTTGAGCCCTTCCTGCCTTTGTCGTAAGACACGTACCAGGTGTATTTATAGCGTCTTAACCTAATAGTCTATATTCGATTATAAAAACTGTCATTATTCACTCAAGTCCAAGGGTTTTCACATTTCATAAATGTGACATATTTAAGAGTTTTAGGATAACGCGCCTCTTCTCTCAAGTTATGTGAATTATGAAGACCATTACTAGCACTCTATACAGTATAATCATAATAGTGTTTCATTAACATGTCATCCGTCCAGTAAATTTATCCATTGGATAAGATTTATCCGTCGGATAGTGCTATTCACGCTTTGTACAACTGGAATGAGTTAAAATTTAACTGAGTGAAAAACCAATAGCAGCCACTTGAAAGAGCACCTTTACTTTGGTAATTCTACTAAGATTCATTATATGTCAGGTGTTATATCGGCCGAGAAAACTTATGTCGAAAAGAGACAAATCTACAGACGTTTGTATGTGTCACTCTGTGGAAACCACTGTTAATCCCATTATTAAATATAGTTGTATTCCTTTACAAAAATGAGGATAATTTAATGTGGTGTCTACTATACTATCTTCATGATTATAATATGCATATATTTTGAAATTAATTGGGACTCTGATTTGTTTGGTGATTTCAAAAGATAAACGCTTGCACCTAGAGCTGTTCATTTCGCTTCTCAACGCCACATCTCCGGCACTTCAAAACCAAGTGCGTCATAATCAGTTGAAAATAATTTCCTTATTCTAATTCTTCATTAAAATATTTTCATTCCTTTCATAAAAGACTTGAAAACTTAAGTTTACTAGATTTTAAGATTCAATTTTAACAGTTTTCATTTGTTTTCATGTGTGAGAAGTTAGATTCGGAAATCTCGAACAACAAACATTCCTGGAAAAGCTCAATAGATGGCAAATATTTGATTTTGTTCCCCATTTTATTTTCATCTTTCAGCTTTATCTAAATTGGGCTCTCAGTACCATTGGGAGCTTCGCTTTTAGGCAGTGCCTAAATTTATATATTAAATTTATATGAAGGATTTTTTTTCCTTCTCTTTTTCGAGACATGCTAGTGTATGTAAGTAATCAGTATATCTGGTGAGTGGTCTGATCTTATCATATTATTAGTAATTATTATCATATGATATTATTAATTTTAATAAAATAAGCATAGCATGAGCAAATGTGCCATAATCGAAAAAGTGCGCTTAATGAGCTGCCGACATAATACAATCAGTTAGTTATCGAACTCACAACAGAATAACGAAATATAATATCATGCAAATTTTTATATATTTGACTTTCAACATGTTTGTGCACGTACGGCTAATATCGAAAATCATTCAATTAACCGTATATCATTTGGTCATAAAGCCAAGTGCAGCTACGACGAGCGTTTTGTCCACAGTCAAAATGCATCAGGAACAGTTGATTTCGAAACCATCAACTAAGACAGTTGCCGTCTTCTTTTTAGTGTTGGTGGTGTTAATGTGTTGTGGTGAGTTTGTACGTATCGAGATGATTCTGAAGCAACAAAACACGAAAATACAACAGTTGGAGAACAAGATGACCTTTCAAGCAGTCAATGTAGACAAGATGGCTGCAACGAAAGGAAAGAGTTTTGAAACAAATGCAAATTGGATTAAAGAAGAAGGGATAAGGAAGGTGAAACAACGGTTTCGCCGAAATGTCTTTCAAAACGAAGAGGAGGGGTCCTCAGCTGATGAGAATCATACCATTTATAAAACAATAGAAAGTAAACTGACGAACATGTTGAAGGAAGAGATGACCAAGGCCATGTCATCACTGCACACCGCAAAGTATCTTATTACTGTTTCGGGTCCTCAGGGACCTCCGGATCCACCAGGGGTTCGAGGTAAAAGAGGAAAAAAGGGACCAAGAGGAGCCATAGGTAAACCAGGTAGAACAGGCAAGCAAGGACTACCTGGACTAAAAGGTGATCCAGGACAAAATGGAGCTCCTGGTCATCGAGGCATGCCGGGACCAAAAGGGGACCGTGGTCCTTCGTTAGAAAATCCATCAGTTGTCATCTTTCCGCCTCATTTGATCGTCAGTGAAAGCAAGCCAGCCGTTTTGCACTGTTCTGCAAGTGGATATCCTAGACCAGAGATCGTTTGGAGTAAAGTGGATGGTTTATTGGCCCCCAACAGATCAATGGTTGATGATAATGGTAAACTGTTGATAGAAAACGTCACATTTAATGACTCAGGGATATATCAGTGTCAGGTTTCTAGTATCCTCGGGAAAACCCAGACAACATCAAGACTCGAAGTGAACATTCGTCCAAGGCTGTTATTAAAAAAAGGACCAATCTACGCTAAGATAGAAGACAATGTTACTCTTCCCGTGTGTCATGTGACTGGCCATCCACAACCGGAAGTTGTATGGCAGAAACCATTAGGGCAGTTACCAAGTAAGCGTGCCAGTCTTCGAGATAATATTTTGACTTTATTAAGCATTAGAAGTGAAGATTCTGGTACCTATCTTTGTAGGGCTGAAAATCAACTGGGATTCGAAGTAGCAGGATGTATGTTAGTCGTGGTACAGTTGCCAGTATTCATCGTTAGACCTCCGCTTGTCATAAACGTCACACTCGGCTCGACCATCATGCTCAATTGTTCAGCTCGAGGTGACCCTCCAGCGTTCATCAGCTGGAGAAAAGAAGAACAGGATGTTCCAGCAGGACAGCATGAAATCCGTCATGGGTCATTGATAATAAAAAATGTTGTCAGCTCTGATTCAGGTGTGTACCTGTGTTCCGCTACGAGTGCTGGAGTTGCTGATACAGAAGCTAAAACACGAATAAACATTGTCTACAGAGATTGTGCACAGATTTACAAATCAGGAGAAAGACCTAGCGGTGTGTACACAATACAACCCGACAGTCAAGGATCCTTTCAAGTCTACTGTGACATGACAACTGACGGAGGGGGTTGGACAGTGTTCCAGAGAAGGCAAGATGGATCAGTCGACTTTTATCATGGCTGGCAGCAGTACAAAACCGGTTTTGGCAACCCGAATGGCGAGTTTTGGTTGGGTAATGACCATATCCATCGACTGACAAAAAGAACAGCCTTAATGCTACGTATAGAGCTGGAGGACTGGAATGCAGTAAAGTATTTTGCCAAATATGGTAGTTTTAGTATTGGTCCTGAATCAGACAAGTACAAACTAAAGGTTGGCTCGTATTCGGGTGATGCTGGAGACTCAATGAAATACCATAATAACATGTTTTTCACTACCAAAGATCAAGATAACGACAAGAATAGCAACAATTGTGCGTCCCAATATACTGGTGCTTGGTGGTATGGGGCTTGCTATGATTCAAATCTGAATGGGAAATATTTGGGAAATACAAATGATGCCAAGGGAATTTGCTGGACTCAACTTATGGGTAACTTTAAAACATTCAAGCGTTCAGAAATGAAAATACGATCCACAACATTCTAATGTTATTTTGATATTCCGCGCTACGCGTCGTGCGTCTTCTAACGCTTTTCGCTTGACTTATTCACCACTTCGGCACTAGCCATCACGTGGTATAGATTTTATTGCATTGTGCTGTGATCACCACCAGCTTTTCTTAATGCTATTTAGAGAAACAAATAAACAAATCAAGTAAATAATTTGTTCGAAAGTAAGTACATTTGTACGGGAATCAAAGAACAATGTCCGACCTTTTTGGTGACGATAACACAATCCTACATCATTTATCCCACGTGATGGCCGGCGCCGAAGTGGTGAATTAGAGCTCGAGGTTACTACATAGTAATAACAACGATTTATTTAATATTTTTGATTTCACATTTAGAAAATGTTAAGTATAAAATGGACGCACCAAATGAACTAATTAAATTCAACTAATCTAATTCAAATTATATATGCTCATATCAAATATAACTTTAAATGACTAGTGGCTAACACTACGAAAACTCTTAGTTCATTTGGCCCGCTCTAGGCATTCAAAAATGAAAAAGTACAAATAAAATTGCTTTATATTAAACGAAGACTAAACCTATACATTGTAATTTAGCTGAAATAATGTCTAACTTAAAATGCATTATGAAAGACGGAGGAGCTCCCGATACTAACAGAAAGGACTACCCGATCTGCCTGGCTGCAGATGACGTCGTTCTCATTGACGAACATGAGACTAGATTACAGTTTGCAATTTATTATAAGTAATACCATGGCACCAGGGAAATTAGTGATTAAACTTCCCCGAATAATAACAAGGGAAATTTTGTAAGTCCCAAGTCCCAAGGGCGCAGCCACTGCAAATGGCACTGTCACTGCAAATGATGAATTTATCCATGCTAGAGCTAGTAGAATTAGTTAAACTGCTAGTGCATTTGACAAAATGCTACGAATAATTAATAAATTAGCATAGGTCGAAAAGTAAATCACAAAGATGCGAATTTTTCAAGCAGTTGCCACCACCACACTACTTTATGATGCACAACTGTCAGGGAAGAAGAAACGCCGTCTAAGAAGAATTCTCAATGAACAGTTGGATGGACCAAATCTCAAATAAGTACATAGTATCATATGACCCGTATCTGCCCGGGCGCGCGCTCTTAAAAAACTCTTCGGGAAAATGGCGTGAGCAGGGCCGTACGGCTTTGAACAAGTAGGGCCGTACGAATCCGTACAGCCCTGCTCGAAACCTGCGACCGTGTTGACATAATTTGCAACTTTTAAAATATCTTTTCTATTTAGGGTCATATGATAAAATGCTTATCCGGACTGAGTTAGGTCGGGCCGTACGGGAAAATATTTGGCTTTCGGTCATTTGTACGCACCTCGCTGCGCTTGGTCCGTACGGCATCACCTCCAGCCAAATATTTTCCCGCACTGCCCTCCCACTCAGTCGATAGGTACATAGTATCAACGTGCTAATCAACCACCTGTGATGAACATACTAAATAATAAACGGCTAATATGGTTTGGTTTGCACTCGGCGTAGTAAGGATGTTACTATCCCCGAATTTCCTGCAGATCCCTTAGTATATTTAGAACCCACTGAAACACGGATCGCGCGATCAATATCTAATCGGATCTACGCCAAATGAATACCGACACACTGGTACCTAGCCTGCTCAAGTAATAATCCACGAAATTCAAAAAGAAACCTTGGAAAAATAATGTAGTTATTTACAAAGAAATGTATGGAGCAATGTTTAGTGTTGAGTGTATGACGTCTATAGAAATTCTTCAAAATATAATACTTCCCATTGGAATATAAAGAAAAAACTTTATCCAGTGATTATTAGACCCTTAAAGATTATTCCATTGAAGCTGCAGCCGAATTAAATTTCGGAAATTTTACGTGCTAGTCCCCTTTTAAGAATTTTTTCCCCAAAACAATATCTACCAGTAATGAGCCGCCATATTGCTCAATACGGAGATGGAACCTAGACTCTTTCACAGTCTCTCGCTCGTCCGTTCCGTCTCCACGCTTAGAGACTGTAACGGTACAATGACCGAAAGGACTTATGAGTCCCGAAAACATGTACCCGGCGTACTCTGGGAACCAAAATACTCCACAGTCTCTCTCGTTTTCGCCGCCATCTTGAAAATATTGAAACGAGAGAGACTATGGACGAGTATTTTGGTTTCCAGAGCACGCCGGGTCCATTTTTTCGGGACCCATAAGTCCTTTCGGTCATTGTACCGCTACAGTCTCTAAGCGTGGAGACGGAACGGACGAGCGAGAGACTGTGGAAGAGCCTAAGATGGAACCAATCGCAGTAAACCCATTTAATTATTTATTTTTTACGTGGTTTTCAAATTACAAAGGCATTTAAATAAGTTAATGATTAATGTCATCAATGAGTATTGAAGCTGAAAATGCATTCTCAAATTCAGAAAATTTACAAAACTGTAAATTTTTTTGTCAATATATTGATTCTTGTTGAATTTTCTTGGGAGAATGTAGTGGATAATTATTATCTCCAAGCAAAGGGTAGATCATGAGAGACCGTGTAACTGGGATACACTTCGCCGTGTTGAACAAACATAAACAAAAATATCTTGATGTTTTGTCATTTCGAGTTCTTCTGGTCAAAGATGAAAAGCTGTGTGAGCTATCTTGTGTTGGAAGCCATCAATGTTTCTCGTTCAACTTGGTAGCCGATGGAGGAATGTTAAGATGTGAACTTCTTTCAACCGACATGTTCAATTCTTCGCAAAAATTTATCTACAAAACTAACTCCGTGCACTTCAGCATTAAGGTAGATATGTTTTATTTAAATGTATCACACTGACTAGTGTTATCATCGTGGATCCAAACTATGATACAGAGCGAATTTTGGAAAGTTTTATTTTATTTGTTATTGAAATGTTAGCCTATTACTGCCGAAAATCACACAGAGATATTTTTAGTTTTGGCTTTTTTGTAGAAATTTCACTACGATTTACGTACAACCCGGCCCTGGTCTATTGATATCTGAGTGAGTTTGAAGAAAAATCTTAAAGCCGTTTTGAAGAAAACGGCAAAAATGTCAGTAATTTTTAGCAAAACTCTCATATTTGAGGCCTACACGGACCATTAATAAATAATGCTTTATTCAATAAGTTTATAAGATTTGCATGTCGCTGATTTTTCGTAAGACTCATCCGCAATACTTGAAAATAGATATGTGAAAACCTCAGGCAATCCATTCACTTTTGGTTGTTCCACAGTGTGCAATGTTTCATGTGCTTCAAATTTTGGATCGAATTTTCAAGCGGCGTCCTAACTTTTTTCTACCCTTGGCTTTCGAGTATTTAATTCGAATGGCCGTAATAACTAAACACTTTTAAAAACACTTTAAAAAGTGCTACTCTGACGAAAATCRCTCAAACTTGGATTCAGCTGAAACTTCCTAAGAATACTCTTTAAAGGTCCAAYAATCACTGTATGAAGTGTTTTCTCGATATTCAGGACGAAAGTATGATATTTTTACGATTAGTTTTTGGAGTCTGTGACGTCATACGCTCAACATCAAACATTGCTACATATATTTCCTTGTATAAAAAATCCCTAATTTATTTTATTCCTATGAAGCCCAAAGGGTGGCTAATGTGCTTATTTCACATTACTTTTGACTATAGTTTATATTTTGGGGGTATTTGGGTATTTCTTTCTCGGCTTTACTACTGATATTTTGATCATAAACTACAAAGAAATGTATGGAGTGATGTTCGATGTTGTGTATGACGTCACAGACTCCAAAAAATAATCTTAAAAATATCATACTTTCGTAAAATATTCAAATAAAGTACACTGTTAGAATTTAGTATATCGCGATCATATGAAAAATCCAATTCATTTGACGCAGTAGTTTTGCGAAGCGAGCGAGAATAATAAACATTTTCTTAAATTTTTTAGCAATTTTAGTTTAGTAATTTTAGTTTTTGGCAGCCATTGTGCTGGTACGTATATCTATTATAGAGAGTTACGCTAAAATTTAAAATAAATATTCGCAATCCCACGTGCAGCTGTCTTATCGATTTACGGTGTATAGTCTTTGGCGAATTTTTTCAAAGGAATAACTCTGAGATCTAGCCATATCTAGAGCAATACCATATCATGAAAATCATTATTCTAGCCGGCCTTTGAAAATATAACTTAGTAAACCACTAATTTTCATACCGAAGTAGGATGGTTATGACTACGGTATATTGTTTCTTTTAGCCATTTTTAGAATTTCCCTTTGAAATAGAGTATAATGGAATTCCAGAAGCTTAATTGTTTTCCCGTTGAGAAAGCTCTCGTCGTGATAACCAACGTGATAATAGAATTCCAGAAGCTTATTTCCCAGTTGAGAAAGTTTTCGTCATGACTAGCTAACGGACTCGGTGGGGGGACGACCCGATTTAACTGATTGATCGTTCCTAATACAAAGGTGGTAAGACTGTCAGAAAACATCGGGAAACACATGCTTACTGCACTACTAAGTAACGAACTTTTGGAATGTTGACTTTCGTGGCTCAACAAGGAAACATTCGGAAAACATTGTTTCCATGCGTCTTGAGGAATTTCAAATTATGGGTATTGTTGAAGTTGTAAATACTTTAACGATGAAATGCCGAGATAAATTTTTGGGATTGAACTAGCCCTGATTGTACTAATTTTATTTTTATATATTGGTTTAAGTCAACATGCTACCCGATGCCATGCAAGAACAACGGCACATGTATTCCATTCTACAACAATAACACTCATTCCTGTAACTGCACGTATCCCCCATATTACGGGGAACAATGTGATAAGGGTAGGTCAAATTCCATTACTATCCATATTATCAAGTGGTGTCTATGATAGTAAGCCCATTGCTGGGAACATTCCCATATAAGAAACGGGTCTGCAAGCATATGAGCCAGCCCATTACTAGGAGCATCCGTCTTCCATACTAGAGTGGGTCTGTGAGCCAACATATTCCCAGATCAGGAGCCCATTACTAGGAGAATCCATCTCCCATATAAGACTGGATCTGTGAGCCAGCATATTCCCAAATCAGGAGCCCATTACTAGGAACATCCATCTCCCATACTGGGTATGTGAGATAGCATATTCCCAGATCAGGAGCCCATTAGGAGCATCCATCTTCCTTACTGGGTCTGTGAGATAGCATATTCCCACTCAGATCAGGAGTCAATTACTGGCAACATCTGATATATTAATATTTGGTTTTCGTTGCCAGTCGAAGGCCTTCATTGGAGTCCTTGGAGTTTGTGGTCAGACACGTGTGGTCCTAAACCGATCCAGACATCGTTAACAAAACACCGATCAAGAAACTGTACTTACAATAGTCCACGAGGAGAGGAACCTTCTAATGAATGTGTAGGGCTATCGGTTGAGACACAAAACTGTGAATCCATTCCTATGACAGCAGAGGAAATAGCCGGTGGGTACAGATTATACATGTAACAAACAATCAAACACTAGCAAACAATCCAACAACCCAACAAGCCAATACCATTCAATAGACTTTATTAGGTTCCTCGAGGGTATCTTCATATCTAATTTACAATGTTGAAACAATGAAAAAAAATAGGGTCGCTAATTACAGTTGAAATTTAATAGAAAAGAATGAGAATATATAATGCCTAATAAGGACGAATTATAATAGAATACTATAATTGCAAAACAAAGAAAAATAGATAAATGGATAAATAAATCTCCAAGGTATTAAAACTAATTACTTAGCCAGTTGCGCAACAACACTGATTAAAAGATTACGCTTAAAGGACGGCACAGAAGAACAATTACGTAGCTCATTAGAAAAAAAAATCTAGATGTTCGCGCCGCAATAGACAAACGATTGTTGGGCCAAAGCAAAGCACTTTCACAAAGCAAATTCACTTTGAAATTGTGACCTCTTAGAGAATAAGTCAGTTAAATAAGTAGGAGCTAAATTAGATATAAATTTGGACAGCATCTCTGATGTAAAGGAGGTCGGAAAAATGAAGGAGTTTTAATTGCTTAATTGTAGTAGAATTAATTGGTCAAACTTCCTAGTTTACCTGACAATAAGGGAGCAGCGCGCAAAATTCTGTACTAACTGAAGTTTGGAAATATTGCACTTACTAGTGCCAGCCAGATCTAGGAGCAATAAAACAATTTCGCGAAAACTAGGGCCGGAGTTAATAACAGTGAATAAACGA